ATGTGTCTTTGGTCCACATTTTCTTTATCCATGTCTCCATGGACATGTGGGACGCTTCTGTATCTTCACTGTTGTGGGAAAATGTAGCAACAAACACAAATGTGCAAATGCCCCTGTGGTGTACTCTCTTGGAGTGTAGCTACATTGCCAGTCGTGGAAGGGTTGGGATGTGGCTGATCTAATTTTGTTTTGTGAGGAGCCTCCCTGGCGAGTTCCGTAGGGGCCGCCTAGTCAACAGGCTCATCAGCAGTGCCTAAGGCTTCCTCCACATGCCCTGCTTCTGCATCTTCCCCAGCATTTGTTTCTGTGTTGATTTTGATGACAGCCATTCTGACTGGGGTGAGACACAATCTCAGTACATCTTGATTTTATTTTCCTGGTAGTTAAGGATGTTGAAACTTTTCATTCATTTATAGATTATTTATATCTCTTCTTAGAAGTGTCTGTTCATTTGCCTATTTATTTATTGGGTGCTTTGATTTTTTTTTTCATACTAAAATTTTCTTTGTAGATTCTGGATTTTAATCCCCCACTAGATGAATAGATGGCAGAGATCTTGTCCATTTCATAGGCTTTCTCTTCACTCCGTTAATCGTTTTTGCTGTGCATAGACTTTTTTGTTTCATGCAATCCTAGTTTTCTTTCTTTTTTTTTTCAAAGATTTTATTTTTATTTTAAGTGTGTGAGTATTTTGTCTTCATCTATGTATGTGCACCACATGTATGCAGTGTCCTTAGAGGCCAGAAGAGGGCGTCAGATCCCCCAGAACTGGAGTTGCAGATCATTGTGAGCAGCCATGAAGAGTCTGGGAATTAAACCTGGGTCCCTACAGGGACCAGTGCTCTTACTGCTGAGCCTTCTCTCCAGCTCCAGATACCCCACTCCCACCCCCTCACCCCCGCCCAATTCTTGGTTTTATTTTCTGGACTGTTGGAGCCTTTCCTGAAGTCCTCACTTATGTGCAAATCTTTTAAGTTCTGCCTGTGTTTTCTTCTGGTATTTTCAAAGTTCCAGGTCTTACATGAAGGTCTTTGATCCATGTTAAGTTGACTTTTGTACAGGTGTCACTCCTCACGTGGACATTTAGTGTTCCCAGTACTGTTGGAAGAGTCTGTCTTTCCTCTAGCGTAAGTTTTGAGTGCCCTTGTGGAGAATCTGGTGGCTTCTTTATGCTATGCTATTCTACTCTACCTTTCTTACCTAATTGGTTGACGTGTCTGTTGGGGACCATTGACATACTATTTTTCTTACTACAGTTCTGTCATATCAATTTACATTGAGTTGGAGCATTTAATTGCAATGGTACTTTTGATTTCTTTTCCCTGGCTACGGATGGCTAAGGATGTTTGTGGCTAGAGTTTTCCTGCCTGGCCCACAGTCAGGACAAATCTTTGTCACCTGCCAGTCCCACAGCTGCTCAGACCCAACCAAGTAAACACAGAGACTTACATTGTTTACAAACTGTATGGCCGTGGCAGGCTTCTTGGTAACTGTTCTTATATCTTAAATTAATCCATTTCCACAAATCTATACCCTGCCACGTGGCTTGTGGCTTACCAGCATCTTTTCATTCTGCTTGTCAGGGTGGCGGCTGGCTGTGACTCCTTCTGCCTTCCTGTTCTTTTATTTCTCCTCTCTGTTAGTCCCACCTACACTTCCTGCCTAGCTATGGGCCAATCAGTGTTTTATTTACTAACCATTTACAGACCACTCCCCAGCACAGCCAAGTGCAGACCATCTCAGACACCTGCATTCAGGCCCGTGGTCCTAATCATCCTCTATGCGGACCTGCTGGGTAAAGCCACGAGGAACCTGAGAATGGGCTCCCACAGGACATACAGAACATCCCACAGCAGATGTTGAATACTTTTTCTCACTCTCATTGGCACCCAGCAACACTGGAGTTGATGGCTACTCTGTCAACCTTGATCTTGGGGTGAAGAACAGCACTTCCATCTGGCCAGTGTTCAGTGGTGATTGTGAATGTCCAGTTTTGTTGCAACTGACTAAGACATGGAGATAATCTGTTTTTCAAGCAGCGTCTAACCTACACATTGCTAACAGGGTGACTTCATTTCCGGTGTGTGTGTGTGTGTGTGTGTGTGTGTGTGTGTGTGTGGTGGGAACCTGGATTTTGAGAGGAGAGAACAAATATGGTAAATGATACTGTACATTAATACATGTGTATTTGCATTCCCGGTATTCAGATTTCATGAGGAAGAGGAGAAAATGGGAAGCTGTTGGTAAAAAGGTACAGATTTCTACATCGTGAGAAACAAGTCCTCCAGGTGCATCAGACAGCATTGAGACTCGAGTGAACAAACAGCACGTGTGGATGCTGAGGAGAGCTGCTTCTCAGTGCTCTTCCTGCAAGAACAGTGAGACTGTGAGGTGATAACCATGTGATGTCAGCTCATTTAATTATCCCATGATATATATGTATCTAGAAATATGGCGTTGTATCCCATAAATGGACATGCTTTTTAATCTGTCTGTTACAAATAAATAGATGGAAATTTTCATGTGGTTAAATAAAGGAGGAAACGTCTAAGAAAGGCCCCTCAGGGCTGGTTGTGAACAGCAGGCTGGGAAGCAGCAATTGTCTAATTGACGCCGACCCAGGTACGAGTGCAGCAGAAGGTCTCATTTCTCCGTTTGTCACTTCCTGTTCTGTCTCTCTCCATATGTGTCACTCCCAGGACACTTTTGGTTAGCCAGTGCCAGGATGAATGTATGTCTGAGACCTTCGAGGACAAGCTTAGTCTGCCTTTCCCCCCAGTTCTTTTATTTTCAGACATGTTCTTGCTAGGTAGCCCTGGCTGCCCTAAAACTCACTGTGCCACTCAGGCAGGCTTGGGACCCACTGCAATCCCCTGCCTCTGCCTCACAGATGCTAAGATTATAGGTGTGTGCCATCAGACCTGAGACACAAGTCTGTCCTTACAATTTCTGTTTCTTTGTCCTCCACGAGTCCTTCGTAATTTTCAGGTATGCCTTTATTGTGACTGGACAGTGTATCAGTTCGCCTAGGGCCTCCCTGGTTGGTTTCTTGACACTGTTTTGATGGTGTTCTGTGTGGATGGAAAAGGAGGGTCAGACTGTGGGGGTGCATGTCCAGGGGTTTGTCTTGCATTGGTAAGCAGTTAAGATGAAACCCTTGTTGAATTGTAAATGTTTGGGCTTAGAGTGTGAAGGGAGTCAGATTTCCAATTCTTTAGACCTGACCCAAAGAATGAATGTCTGGCTTTCTCTGTGTCTCTGTCCTCCCTCCCTCCCTCCCTCCCTCCCTCCCTCCCTTCCTTCCTTCCTTCCTTCCTTCCTTGACCATATCTCACTCTGTAGCCCCCGGCTGGCCTAGAATTTATAATCATCCTCATATAGTCCAGGCTGGCCTTGAACTCATTCTGCTGCTGACAATGACCTTAAACTTCTGATTCTGCAACCTCCACCTCCTGAATGGTGGGATTACACAGGCATGCACTACTATGCCTGGTTGATACAGTGCTGGGATTGAACCTACAACTTTGTGTCCCACAGGCAGGCACTCACCCTCTCCAGCTCCTCACAAGGATAGTTTGAGTTGGAGGAGGCAATACTAGACACTCAGTAAGTGTCAATGGATGGAGGTGGCAGGCATTTGTGCGATGTTTGTGGATGAGCTCCCCCACCCTGAAGACTCGGCTCCCACGAGGCACCTGCAGGATGCTGCTCTTGAGTCTGATGTGAGGGAGCCCTTGTCTTCACCTTTTCACAGCCCAGTGAGAAGCAGCAGCTGTTGGGGAAGTGTTCTGGAGATGGGCTGGTACTCTATGTGACAGAGCCGATGGGAAGATCCTTCAAGAGACAAGAAGCTCAGCCAGGGTGTGGGCTATAGAGGAGCCCTCCTGTCAGTCCCAGTGATGCTTAGAGGCTTGGATGGACACCTGGCATGTGGCTTCTCAGCAAATGTTTATTATAGGAAAATAGGAATACTTGTCACCATAGTGACTCCCAGGTGTCCCAAGATGTCCTGCCTGAGGGCAAAGGCTGGGCTGTAGCTGGGGACAGAGCAGCCTGTACTCTATTCTTTTTCCACCTACTCCTAGTAAATATTTATAATTTTTTGAGACAAAATCTCACCCTGTAGCCTGCAGAGATCCACAGAGGTTTCCTAGTGAGAACTTACTCAGGGTCTGAGACTCTGAGCTCACTTTACCCAGCAGGGCTGACATAAGGGGGTGATTTGACCATAGGCATGGTTACCAGGTGTTTGGAAGGGTCTGCACTTGGCTGTGCGGTGTGCTTTGATCTATCAAGGGGGAGGTCTTTTGCCCCACCCCTTGGCATTGTTATAGAAAGCCCTTTGGAAGAGGCAGAAGGGGCTGTTGGATGTTGACACAGGTCCTTCTGAATCCTGTGTTTCTGTCTTTCTCCTCTTCGCTATCTTTCTACCTGGTATTTTCTTACTCCTCTCTCCTCCTCATAGGAACCCTGGAAAAAGTGGGAGCTGGCCTCCCACAGTAGCCCGGGCTGGCCTAGAACTCATAGAAACCCCCTTGCCTCAGCCTCCCAAGCACTGGGATTGCAGGCAAACATCACCACGCCCAGCTTTTTTCAAGCCTGGTGTCGAATGCTTAACTTGAACAGTTGCCATGGGTGGTGACTTCTTCAGCTACATGGGGGTGGGCTCTTAAAACAGCTCATCATTTGCTATTCTGCAATTCTCCACATCCTTCAGGTTCTGGGGAGCAGTTGAAGCCTTCCCAAAGGCTTGTTAGAATTACAGAATCTCAGGTCTGGTTTCAGATTCATGGTGCCTGAATCTGCATTTTACTAAATCCCTGGGTGATTCATGTGTGCGTTAGAGTTTGAGAGGCCAGCTACAGGGGCCTGTAATGAAAATATATGACTTAATTCCAGGTAATGAAACTTGAAGAGAAAGAGTGGATGAATAAAGAATTGCTGGCATCTAGGAGCCAGAAAAGGAAAGTACTGGAAAGTGTAGCAGGATGTCCCCTGGGCCTTCTACACCTGGTGAGCCTACCATGGGCATCCCTCCCCGGGGAGGCATGTTTCCCTGGGACATGCTGTTCATGTTGTGGATTGCTGCTCATCTTCTTGATGACAAGTGGATTCATTCACAGAAAACCTGCCCTTTGCTGAATTTTAAATCCACTGCTGAGCAACTGTTATTTTTGCAAAGGTCAAAGGGCAGTATAATATTCAGGGTCACTCTCTGCACTGCCTAATTTATGTCAGCTTGACACAGGCTAGAGTCACCTGAGAAGAGGGAGTCCCAACTGAGAAAATGCCTCCATAAGGTTGAACTGCAGGCAAGCCTGCAGATCATTTTCTTAATTAGTAATTGATAGGGGAGGGCCCAGCCCATTAGGGGTGGGGTCATCTCTGGGCTGGTGGTCCTGGGTTCTATAAGAAAGCAAGTTGAGCAAGCCATTGAGAGCAATCTAGCAAAAACAGTACTCCTTCATGGCCTCTATGTCAGTCCCTGTCTCCAGGTTCCTGCCCTCTTTGAGTTCCTGTTCAGATTCCCTTCAGTGATGGGAATGTGGAAGCATAAGCCAAATAAACCCTTTGCTCCCCGAGTTGCTTTGGTCATGGTGTTTATCACAGCAATAGTAACCCTAACTCTAAGACAGAAATTGGTTCAAGGGTGTGGGGTATTGCTGTGACTAACCTGGTTGTTTTAGGGAGGACTGTGGAAGGACTTTGGAACTTTGTGCTAGAAAATCCATTGAGTGTTGAGACCTCAGTGAGCTGTTCTGTAGGAGTCTGTAGGATAAGAACGTTGTGAGCACTGCAGAGGATGGAGGCCTGACTTGTGAGGTTTCAGAGGGAAGCAAAGACTCTGCTGGGCCATTTGTGTAAAGAATCTGTGGTGTCTGGTCAGCTGGCGTGGAAGAATCGGCTGTGATTAACAAGAGACCAGGACCACTGAAGTAAAACCCTGGCTTTTCTGGGACAGTGGATGCTGTCAGCTGGGACTGAGTGATCAGCTGTGATTAGGAAGTGGTTCCTGACTGAGTGTTAGCACCAGAAACTGTGCTCTAGAGGTGGCCGGGGTTGTACCTTGTGCTGACAGATACTGTGTCAGAGTCACCCAGGTACTGTGTAAGAGTCACCCAGGTGGTACTGGTTTTGCAAGCATGAAGGGGTCATGGAGAACAGCTGAGGCTTGGCACTGTGGGAGGCAGGAGAGGCCAGTGGTGAAGGTGCAGTCTCACTAGCAACTGAAACCCCAAGACTGAAGGGGTCATGTAAAGAAGTTGAGGCTTGGCACCATGAAGAGAGCCTAGGAGAGGCTATTGGTGAAAGTGCAGCCCAGTTGTATCAGAACACCCCAGTTCTGATTTTGGAGATGCCAGTACCATGGGAAGACCACTAAGAACAGCAGCAGCAGTGGAGTGGAGTCAGCTGGAGCCTAGAAGATGAGCTGTGTGTGCTGCAGAGGGCAGAGCTGGAGAAGAGACCCAAGCCCTTTGGAGGCGCCCAAAGGACTGTGAGTGAGCCCCGGATATTGAGCATTAAGTTATTTACACGGTTGGAGTTGGGTTTTGCTTGGTTCAGATTGTGCCTGTTCTTCCCTCTGAAGCTGTGGCTCTCAACCTTCCAGACACTGCGACCCTTTAATACAGTTCCTCATGTTGTGGTGGCCCCCAACCAGAAAATGATTTTCATTGCTGCTTCAACAACTGTAATGAATCATAATGTAAATATCCGTGTTTTCCTATGGTCTTAGGTGACCTCTGTGAAAGGGTTGTTGACCTCTGAAGGGGTTGTGACCCACAGGTTGAGAACCACTGCTCTTGAAGTAAGAAAATTAGCTTATTTTGATTTTGTAGTAGCCCACAGTTGAGAGATTTTGAATTTTTAAAAGAGACTTTGGGTTTTTATAGAGACTGAACTTTTTTGTTTGTTTGTTTTGTTTTTTAAGACAGGGTTTCTCTGTGTAGCCCTGGCTGTCCTGGAATTTGCTCTGTAGACCAGGCTGGCCTTGAACTCAGAGAGATCCGCAAGCATCACCACTGCCTGGCTAGAGACTTTTAAAGTGTTTAGATTGGTAAAGACTTTGAGACTTTTAAGTTTGCAATATGTTTTACATTTATGATATTTATTAATCTGAGCTCTTGGGGATGAACCAAAGGGGGAAGGTTTTGTCTTAAAAAGCAGTGCATGTCAAGTTGACAAGGGATCAATTGTGCTGGCTAATTTTATGACAACTTGACACAGGCTAGAGTCATTTGAGAGGCGAGAACCCCGATTGAGAAAATGACTCCATAAGATTGGGCTGTAGGCCATCCTGTAGAGCATTTTCTTAATTAGTGATCAATGGGGGAGGGCCTTGCCCATTATGGGTGGGTCCATCCTTGGGCTGGTGGTCCTGGGTTCTAT